TATATATATATATATATATATATGGCGAAAATTCAGTTCTTTTATGTATAGTTGAATATATAGTTATTATACATAGTTAAAGTCAGAATTATTCGCCCCCCTGTTTATTTTTTTCCCTAATTCCTGTTTAATTGAGAGCAGATTTTCCCAACACATTTATAAACATAATAGTTTTAATATCTCATCTCTAATAACTGATTTATTTTATCTTTGCCATGATGACAGTAAATAATGTTTGACTAGATATTTTTCAAGACACTTCTATACAGCTTAAAGTGACATTTAAAGGCTTAACTAGTTTATTTAGGTTAACTAGGCAGGATAGAGTAATTAGGCAAGTTATTGTATAATGATGGTTTAATCTGTAGACCTGGGGTTCCCAAAATTTTCACCCTGCGACCCCTAATATGACAATACCAGTGACTTGCGAGCCCCAATATCCTCTGAGTTGGTTATAAATACAGAAGCCTTGCATGCAATGGCACACACACCCCAATACACCTAAGTATATTCTTCGGCACTCTTTTTATTGTACAGTATGTCAGTGCTGAAAATGGGCCAGCAAGTTTAACCTGGTGTTATAATATCAATCTGCTGCGTCTGACAATATTGCTGTGTCTTTGGTATAATGTAATTACCCCAGGGGTCGCAATCCAATAGAGCTAGTAACTATGAGCTACTATAGTAACTATATAGTATATAGTTAATATAAACAACTTTTTTTTTCTCTTCAGTAGGTTATTGATAAAATATGGTAATTCTTATGGTTCAGTAAAAAAAGATTTTGTAAATCAACAGGCAACCCCCCCCCCCTTCATTGTTACGCGACCCCTCGGGGGGTCCAGACCCCCACTTTGAGAACCACTGCTGTAGACTTTTGAAGAAATATATAGCTTAAAGGGGCTAATAATGTTGACATTAAAATAGTTTTTAAAAAAATTAAAAACTGCTTTTATTCTAGCCAAAATAAAACAAATAAGACTTTCTCAAGAAGAAAAATTATTATTAGACACACTGTAAAAAGATTGCTGAATCTGATGTTAAACATCATTTGTGAAATATATGATGTTTAACAGATTCAGGAATTTTTTTTACAGTATGTCTGATAATATTTTTTTCTTATTGAGAAAGTATATATATATATATATATATGTAGTATTTATAAATATATACATATAAATTTATATTTATATACATATATAGTCAGAATTATTAGTTAGGATTTTTTTTTCATATTGTCATTATGGGGTATTGTGTGAAGAATGTTGAGGAAATAAATTAATTTAATCCATTTTGAAATACGGCTATAACATAAAAAAATGTGGAAAAAGAGAAGCGCTATGAATACTTTCCGGATGCACTGTATGTTTAAAAATGTGTTAAAAACACTTAAGATATAATTTAAAATAATTCAAATTTCACATTACCACTAGTTATTTTTGTATATAGTGTATTTTGGATCTGTGTATCTGACTTTTCTGTCTCTGTGTGTTTTCAGAGGACCAGATCCCTCATGGTTTCCCCACTATAGACATGGGTCCCCAGCTGAAAGTGGTTGAACGGACGCGGACGGCCACCATGCTCTGTGCCGCCAGCGGAAACCCAGACCCGGAGATCTCCTGGTTCAAAGACTTTCTGCCTGTCGACATCAACAGCAGCAACGGACGAATCAAGCAGCTCCGTTCAGGTAAAAATAACCCAGTAAACACACCCAAGGCGACAAGGGCTTGAAAAATAAACTATAATGAGCGCGCTCGCTTTTTGCAAAGAGGATGATTGCATGCATTGATGCTGACGGCACCTGCTCGATGTGAATATTTTCTTTTCTAACCTCCTCCAAAACAAAGACAATAGAGCACAATATTGAGCGACCGCTTTCTGTATGATTTCCCCCCCATTCATTTTCTCCATAGGGATTCTTCAATAAAGCCTTGAACCACACCAGATACCAGATGAATCGCATTGCAGCATTTGATTCAAAGCAGATGAAAATATTTGAACTTTTTGAAGAAAGAAAAAAGGCAGTACAAGACTGTGTGCTTATTTCATGTGATGGAAATAAATCAGAAACGACAGAGCTCTTCAATATTATTGACTGAACATTAGCATTCAAAAGTAATTCATTCTAATATTCATATTCAGCAAGGATGCCTTTAATTGAATCAAACGAAAAACATTCAATCAAAAAATATAAATATTCCTTGGAATTTCCTTGGAAATATTACTTAATATTACAAGGAATTTCAGCTTAAAAGTAGAAAATATTAATTATTTTGAACAATAGATTGTATTTTTGGCTATTGCTGAGGTTATACACATTCAACATAAGACATACAGTTGAAGTCAGAATTATTAGCCCCCCCTGAATTATTAATCCCTGTTTATTTTCTGTTTAACAGAGAGATTTATTTCAACACATTTCTAAACATAATAGTTTTAATAACTCATCTCTAATAACTGATTTATTTTATCTTTGCCATGATGACAGCACATAATACTTGATTAGATATTTTTCAAGACACTTCTATACAGCTTAAGTGACATTTAAAGGCTTAACTAGGTTAATTTGGTTAACTAGGCTATCTGCCTTCTGTAGACTATCGAAAAAATAGCTTAAAGGGGTTAATAATATTGACCTTAAAATGTTTTTAAAAAAAATTAAAAGTGCTTTTATTCTTGCTGAAATAAAACAAATAAGACTTTCTCCAGAAAAAAAAATAAAAATTATCAGAGATACTGTGAAAAGTGCCTTGCTCTGTTAAACATCATTTTGGAAATATTTCAAAAATAAAATAAAATTCAAAGAGGGGTGAATAATTCTGACTTCAACTGTACTTACAGTATTTACAATATTTGTAACAGGCCTGTTAAATATGAGAAATAAATTAAACTGTAAAAAGAAATTCAAACAGAAAACACACATTTTAAACTGAAATAATAACTCATCGTATTACAGAAATATTATTAGGGGTGTGAACCTTCACCTTCATCTTATGGTTCGGTTCGGTTACGATTATCATGTCATCGATTCTCTTTAATTCGATTTCTCGATGCATTGACGATGCTTTCCATAAAAAGTTTAATTTTTTATTTAGCAACACAATAATTCTTGTATTAAAATTTTTAAATATATTATAAGTGGGCATAGATGTTTTTCTATCTAAAGTGCATACCTTGGTGCAGGGCCGGAGCAAACTGAACTGCCGCTCTAGGCAGAGGACGATCACGCTGCCTTCAACCCCAATGTGAAAACGAAAGTGACCGGTTATGAAAATGAAGTGAGGTGTCGCGGACCTCTATTCTGCCGCCCTATGCGCGGATATAACTGAGGACGCGCGGGTGCTGAGGGAGGGAGGGACGTGTTGCCGACGCTGCTCTCTCTATTCTGCCGCCCTATGCGCGGAAATAACTGAGGACGCGCGGGTGCTGAGGGAGGGAGGGAGGTGTCGCCGATGCTGCTCTCTCTATTCTGCCGCCCTATGCGCGGAAATAACTGAGGACGTGCGGGTGTCGCGGACCTCTTTTCTGCCACCCTATGCGCGGATATAACTGAGGTCAAGCGGGCGGTGTTGGAGGTGTCGTTCACTGACGCTGCCTTGTGCCCACTCTATTCTGTCGCCTATGCGCGAATATATCTGAGGACGCGGGTGGTGAGGGAGGTGTCGCGGATATAACTGAGGATGCGGGTGGTAAGGGGGGAGTTGCGGACGCCACCCTCTCTATACTGCCGCCCTAGGCGGCCGCCTAGGTCGCCTCTATGGACGCGCCGGCCCTGTCTTGGTGCATACAAGGCAATTTTAAATATTTGTGTTCTTTTTTTTTTAGATACATACTATAAAATCATCGTAAATTAATCATGGAAGTGTACACTGCCTGAAAAAAGTTTTGTCACCTTTTTTAGGAACAACCTTGACTTCTAGTTGATCATTTGGTATCATAAGTGGCTTATATGAAAGACAAAAGATTAGATTCATCTTCAATACCTCCTCCTTCATCTTACCCCACACATGCTCAATAATGTTCATATCTGGTGACTGGGCTGGCCAATCCGGGAGCACCTTGACCTCCTTTTCTTTCAGAAACATTGATGTGGAGGCTAAGCATGAGAAGGAGCGCTATCCTTCTGAAGAATTTGCCCTCTCTTGTGGTTTGTAATGTAATGCACGCCCCCATACTGAATATAACCCCAAACCATGATTTTTCCTTTACCAAACTTGATTGATTTCTGTGAGAATCTTGGGTTCATGTGGGTTTCAGTAGACCTTTTGCAGTATTTAGGATGATTGGGATGCAGGTCAGCAGATGATTCATCAGAAAAATCCACCTTCTGCCACTTTTTCAAATGATCAACTAGAAGTCACGTTATTATTTGTTGCTCTTACAACTGAAATCGAAGACAAGACTTTTGTCAGGTAGTGTAGATGTTCTCTGCAAATTCGATGAGTGAATACTGTATATATATCAACATTTAACCTGTGTGGAAAGGTTTAAATTCACTAAATCTCTGTGGAGGAAATGAATGGGTTTTTCTACACTCCTGAAATCCGACTATTGCAGGGTATCTGCAAGACGAGTGACATTTCAGTTCCAAACGGTTTCATTTCATGTCTCAAAGTAAACGTAAACCAACAGGAAGACAGACTGACCCTCAGTTATTATTCGCATAACCCTGCGGTTAGGACACACAAACATGATTAACATGACAGCGCGGCGATTTGTTTTGATTAGAATCATCGGCCCTTGTCAACAATCATTTTCTGCGTCAATCGTCAATACGACTCCGCGTTTGTCAAATTATTCCCAGTCGGCCAATCCATCTCGCAGCTATAGCAGACAATCACATCATTTATTTGTTTGGTTACAGTCCATTATTTGATCCCGAGATTAGCTTTGCTCTCCAGCCATTAGCACACAGGCCTTTTTTCCATTAACGAATGCTAATGAAACAATTTTTCAATTCGTGACCTTTACTGAACGCCTATGAACGAATGGGGAAATGCGCTCGTGATTCAATACCTACAGCTTCAAACGGAAACCTTAATCTCAACATGTCATTGTGCACGAGTAATTACCGCCAAAGCAGCTGATTCTGCCATGCACATCAATCTACAGTGTGTTTACAGTGCAGACAATCTGATAAAGAGAGCATCGCAGTGTCTCTAGACTGTAATCAATGGAGACGCTCAAGTATGTCAGGAGTCAAGCCTCTTACATACAGTGGGAAGGGAAAGTATTCAGACCAATGCTAATTTTTCACTCTTTGTTATATTGCAGCTATTTGCTAAAATCATTGAAGTTAATATTTTCCTTCATTAATGTGCACACAGATCCTCATATTGACAAAAAAAAACAAATTGTTGACATTTTTTGCAGATTTATTAAATAAGAAAAACTGAAATATCACATGGTCCCATTTTAGCAAATGGCTGCAATATAACAGGGAGTGAAAGATGTAAGGGGGTCGGAATAATTTCTTTCCCCACTGTATGTGAGATGAAGGATTTTACTTCAGATATTACACCCTTTTCACATTGACAGGGTTCTCCAAAGTCATCAGAAATGAATAAAGCTCTACTGTGGTCAATGAAAACTATAATGACTTTTTAGTTTGAATTTTAGAGACTTGCAGTATTGATGATGCTGAAATGTTATTATAAGGTATTGCACTATTATACAGATATTTTTAAATGAGTCATTTATGTTTAGAATAGTATACTCTTTCATAAATTCTACTTCAAACTGTATGGTAATCTAACGATTAATATTTTAATTAAAGTTCAAAATCAATCTTTTAAATAGGCCCACACCGAATCTGTGCATGCAGAAATCTGCAGATTTCCGCAGATTTTTAGCCCATCGAGTCTATGTATTTACTTGTGTAAATGTGTATAAATTTTATATTTATTCAGTTTATAAAGTAATTTCATTTATATTATTGTAATATAATAATAATAATATCAAAATATTCATTTGATTTTTTCAATACAGTTTTTAAAGTAATATTTTTTTTCTTTCAGTAGATATATTATACAGTATGAGAGACTTGCTTTACCTAATAAATGAATCTAATTGGATTTGCATTGTGAACATTAAATAAAAGTTAAACATGTTTTTTTAATGCATTTATTAAGTTTTAGTTATTATACTCCTAAAATTATTCTGCATGAATCTGCAGATTTGTGACTTAATTATCTGCAGAAATAGCAAAAAATATCCGCAGATTCTGTCTGGTCCTACGTATGAGCTACTGAAAATATTCATATGGACTGATATATATATATATATATTTATTGTAGATATTTTCCTAGAGCTTCTCCTCTAATTTTTTCTTGTTATTATTACTAGAAATTATTACGGAATTACTAGAAAAAAAATATAAGTGACTCTGAACCACAAAACCAGTCATGACCAGTAATTTTTTTAAATTATATATTTTTATTTTGCTTTTTCAAAAGTTAAAAATAAAGAACATCGAAATAAAGCAACAAAAAAGCTAAAGTAAAACATACACACAGTAAATAAATAAAAATAAATAAATAAACAAAGGGAGAATATACAGTATAAAACGATAAGGAAAAACTATTTTGTCAAATCAAATCACATGGTATATAAAGTGTTTTATACTGAACAACTTGAAAATCTGGAATCTTGGAGCTAAAAATCCAAATATTCATAAAATTGCATTTA